ATTCAGGTATTTGCAGCTTGACATGATATATACTGTTAACTACTAGAAGTGTTCATGATAGAAAGATAAAATATAGAGATCAAATGTATAATAGCATTTAAGCTGAGTTATGAATAGTATTCATGAACTTCAGTCTATATAGTTGTGTGTAGCCAAGAGCTGCTAGCTCTATTGATTACGCGAGAGATAGGAATAGGAGTAAAGAATCCGCGAGGAGCGGGATTTCTTACAATTCTTATAGTCTCAATGCTTGTTCTCTTCTGTCAGAACATTGCAGTTATTGAATACTGTATATTCTTTAATCTGCTTAACATAGTATAAATTAATATGCATATTCAGCTATCTCTTCATATATCATATAAGCTTTGCTTTTTTTGTATAATCACTGATATGCATGATGACAGTGCTCATAGTTGAAGCAGGGAATGACTGATGACTAACAACTGAACCAGCTTGAAATGGCTTAAATGTCGCTGCTGCTCTGACTGCTACTTCAATAAGAAATTATAGTTATCAGTGAGCTCTCAGTATGATTTGATGAGCCACTTCAGAATCATTTTCTCTCAGTGATTGAGACATCAATAGACTATTGCTTCTTGCAATGACTGCATATATCTGAATAATAAGATTAATAGATGATTGATTTGATGCTGAAAATGCTGCAGGAATAATCTACTTAATCACTGAACTGAGTCATTTCTCTCTGAGCTCACACTGCAAGACAAGAGATATAATGATTGAAGCTCAAGTATGTTCTTGAAGCTGATACTTCTTGAGATGAGTGATCAATGACTGCAGACAATTTCAACTGTGAGGAAAAGAGAATGTCTGCAACATTCAGAAGTATTCTAGCTAATCATGCAGTGATAAGACAGTACTGATCAGCAATGAGTGTGAAATCTCTGATATATCAGTGAACTCACTATGACATGAATCAGATGGAAAAAAAGAGATCAAATTCAAACTTGAACATATCTGAAAAAGGAATACAGTCTGTGATGTCATTCCTTGCTCTTGACACATTTGGTCTCTGTGTGTGAGATTCAGCAGATCATTCAGTTTAGCTCAAAGATGTTTTATATGATAGTGAAATCAGCTGTTATTGTGTAGATCATAGTCCAGGTTCAGTCAATTCTTATCATTAATAAAGCAGCTTCAGCATGATCTTCTTGCTGTTAATTCTTTGATCCCTGCATTGCTATTTTGCTGCAGCATATCTTCAAGAAATGCAATGCAAGATGCAATCACTCTCACCTTTTTTTCATCAATATTCACTATAACCCTCTTACAATTCAATGTAGATAAGCCATGTGACAATGCAGCAACTGTGTCAGAAAAATTGATGCCATGAAGATCAAAGATTAGAATAAAAATATTGTTTTGCTTTGAGTGCTTGACAGCACTCAGTGCAGGAATCAAATAAAAACTCATCAAGCTTCAGTACATGTTCTGATATAAATCAAATCCATCAATAAATAATTGATATGGCAGGGAAATAACTTGTATATCAGAACAAAATATGCTTTTCAAAAGATCTTATTCATGTGCCGCAATTTCCAACTCAGCCTGAATCAGTGAAGATTTGTAATATGACTATATCTCAACAACTCCAGTTTTGATTCTCATGACCTGATGAAGAAAATACTGACCTTGGCTCTCATATATCAGCAGATCAGAACCCGATTCAAATGCTGTATTCACATGAACATCAAGTTGATTGAGAACTTGAGTAATTGAGATATATTTCATCTCATCCTTCATTGTGATTATTTTGAAGGGGCTAAATGATGAATTCAAGAACAGTAATCTTTGTGCAGTCTGCAGAGTATAGTGAACAGCTTCTTGAACTTTCAGAACTATTATATGAGATCTCATGTCTGAATGTTGATGATCATGTCTGACAAAATACACTCTCTCAATGTGAGATATATCATTCAACTCTGATTTGCAAAAGCATTTGAGATTCCCACACTGATACTGAATAAAATCAGAAGGAAAAATAGGTTTATTTGATGAATATTGTGTGAAGTCATTAGAATAATATTTGACTGAGCTTTCTTAACTGTGAGATTGTCATAACTCTGTGAGATTGTTGACAATTTCTGCCATTTCTATATACATTTGTTGCTGGAAAGTTGGGGATTTAAGGAGAGCAGATATCAAGAGAATCGGATTTTAAAAGTAGAGTGATCTCATGAAGGATTCAGTGAGATTTTTCTGAGCAGAACTCAGAGTTGGCATTTGCATTGATGACACTATTGAAATTGAGGTTTCCTTGACAGATAAAATCAGAAATTGTGCTCTGCATTGCTTTTTCAGAGTTGAGAGACCTTCTGAGAGCAGACTTATCAGTGATGTATTCTTCAATAAATGCAGAATTTGCATTAATGATTTGTAGTTTTTTCAGGAAATACCTGACTCTTCGGCTCAGAGTCCCATTGTCAGAACAAATGAATTCATTTCAAAGTTACTGTGTTTGTGAGGTATATCAATTGCTGGATCAGAATCAACAAATTGATCAGTAATAGCAACAGCAATTGTATCAGCAGCTGGCATTTCAATATCATTAGTGACTGGCTCATCAGAATTCTCTTGATCATCATTTTTGAAAATATTCTCCTCAGCAGCTGCTTTCAAAAGCCACTCAATATGCTCAACATTATCAGCAGCATTCTCATTATATGGCTCTGCCTTTAGAGAATGTTAGTTTTTATAATAATAGAGACATTAAAAGTGATAAACTTACTGAAAATAGCAATGCTTCTTCACCAGAAGCATCATTATTGAAATCACTTTCAGTGAAATCTTCATTTGCAGTTTCTGGGAAAAGAGGGCTCTGAGGTTGGAATTCTGATTAATCATCCCCGGATTCTTATCTAGAGGCAGATAGCAGATAGTGTTTTGAATTTTGATTAAACAGACACGACATTTTGCTTTCTGATATGATTTATAGAAAAAAGTTGCATAGTTGAAAAGATATAAATGAAGTGAATGAGTGGTCTTGATAAAATAAAGAGATGAGATTGAATTATTAAAAAGGAATATATTAATAAGAGCTGCAATCAGTGACAACCTATATCAATTTAATATTAACAATCAAACTACTTTCTTTGTTTCAAAATTATATTTCTGCAATTTGTTGAAATTCATATCACAAATTTATCAGAGTTTTATCAAGATTCTGAAAATGAACATTGCTATGAATTCTGCTCTACTAGATCTCTCTGAACTCTCCCATCTGATAGGTTTAATGAGACAAATCACTGATTTCAAAAGAAATCTGATATTGACATATCTGAACATAGAATGAACATAATGATAGCAATGATGAATACCAGCCAGGTGAGGAGGAGTCAAACTCATCACTGATATCAAGCAGTCCGTCAAAAAGGTGTCACTGAACCCGGCATCCAGATGCAGAAATATATGAGAAGGAAATTTGGCTGACAGAGCAGTGTCTGCATCTGGAGATAAAATGAATGTATTTTCTTTCTTTCAACAAAGATAATTTGGATTGAATGGTTGCAAGTGTGATAAAAACAAAGGATAAAACATCATACATCTTTTCATTCAGCAGAATGATGATGCTGGATGCGATTAAAACATAGAAGTCCCGAACTCTCAAAGAAATGAAGACAAGTAGTATTAGATTTTAGCAAATATATCAACTTTTCAGTGAGATATTAAAATTTTTTTGACCAACTTAGCTAATCATTTATTAATATAGAATCATGTTCAATGAAAGAAGGCAAAGAGCAGAGAAAGTTTGATGATAATTGAATTACATAACTGCTATGAAGAATTAATCATCTTTGAATACTTCTGTGATTTATTTATCACTGAAAAGTTCTTTCTAGTTTTTTACTGAGCATGAGGAATCATCAACTTTGATCAATTCTCTGAGTGAGGACAATGATATATGAAACATAAGTTGAATATTCATTAGTTAAAGATATTGAATTGAAAACTTCGGATTGAAAAACTAGAAACTGATTCTGAAAAATAGAGATATATGCCAATCTTACAACTCAGGTCAAAATATTTAATGATGCTGATACAAATAAAAATTCCATCACAGCTATACTGCAATGGCAAAATATTCTGACATTCTGAGATCTGATAAGTGATATTTCTGAATATCAGCAAATTATCAGAGATGACTTTGCTGAGATGATTCAGAATACTCTGACAGCAAAAAAGAGACATCTGATGGAAGATGTGCAGGAGGAGATGTGAAAAAAGATCAAATTTTCAGAGACACTTTCAGTAAAAGACAGATCAGTGATATAGAGATTTTCAACACAATCTATTTATATTTCAATATATTTAGTTTTCTATGAGTTTTATATATAAATTAGTTAATATATACTTTAATACACATAATTAGAATATACCTGCCTTGATATTCACTGAAGAAAGTTATTATATTCTCTATCTTGTAATTTGTATAGAATTCACTGATTTCACTGCATCAGAAAATCTTGAATTCTGTAGATATATTCCTGACAGTGTATTGAACACTTGTTCCTAGTTAATAGAAATGATTTTGTATTCAAAATAGCTGTAATTCAATCAGTGATAGCCTGTGCAAAAAGTATTAAGATATGAATGAAATTCACCAGATGTGCTGATTGCACTCAGAAATGAAATATGAAAGCATTTGCATTCATTGCATGATAATCTGCAAAGATGAATCAACAACACATATAAAGACTCACATTTTTCTTTTCCTTCTTTTCTTCTTTCTTCTTCTTGCAACAATAATACACTACAAAGATCATTTTCAGCTCACTCAGCTCATTCTGTCCTTCTTCATCCCTCAGCCTGGTTAGTATTCTGTCAGTTGCAATAGAAAGCTTTTAATCAGAAAAGTTCTAATCAAGATATCTTGTCTGTGTAGTATATCAAGAATATCAGCAATTCATCACATCAGCATCAATCACAGCAACAACAACAGCAGTAGTATCAATCACAGTAACAATAACAGCAGCAGCATCAAAATGACAAGTAACACTCTCAAGTGTACTCATGCTGCTGCTGCAAAGATTCAAGAGAAGGAAGTAAGCAGCTGTCTGAATACTCTGACAAAGCAGTCTGACAAACAAACAATGTGCAAGCACTGCATTGAGTATATTTTTCTCTGTCATTTGAATGTCACTTGTGATAAGATGAAGAGAAGCTCAAAGCCTTGCACAAATTGCAATCATGAGAAAAAGAGATGCATGATTGTCTCTGAAGAATTAAAAGAATAAGTTAATAATCTGATCTGAATTCATGACTTTTATCTTTCTGCATCAAATGATTTCAAGAAAATAATAAAGAGAGCTATATTGAAATCAGTAAAGAATCTTTCAAAATAGATTAAAAAAGTCAAAACTTGCTGATAGAAAGTGAAAGCTTAATATATAAAGAGTGTTACTATTGCTCTGAAAGCTCTGAATATCATCATCAGTGCTGCTGAAAAAGCTAAAATCAAGATTAAGAAGACCAAGTTGAATATTGAAAGAGTGAAATTAGAAATTGAAAAGAAAAAAGTTGTCACAGAAAAGAAGAAAATTATAATCAAAAAGATAAAACTTGACATTGAAACTATCAAGCTTGAAGTGCATTGCAAGCTTTTGAGAATGATAGTTAGTCATATTAAAGAACAAAAATCAGTGATGAAGAATCTCATAAATTTAATAAATAATGTTAATACTGAAGCTAGCTGTATTGTCATTGAGATGTATAAAACAATAAAGTATGTTCAGAGACTCACAGATTATCTTGATAAGAATTCAGTTACAGTCAGCAACAGCAGCAGCAGCAATGAGAAATTTAATAACAGTGATAATTCTCTTTTTATCTCTCTCACTGACATCTCTACTACTGCTGTTAATTCTTTCTTCTCTTTCTTCTTCAATCTTTCAACTCCAGTTGATTCTCTGGCTATGAGCAGCATCAAAACTCTTGACATTCTCAGTGAAAAAGTAAGTTAGAATCAGCAAAATGATTCCCAGATTTATGCAGAAGTTGATAATGATATAGATGAGTAAATGCATAACTTCTGATCTCTCTGAAATTCTCTCTCTCAAACAGTGAATAGTCATTGACACTGGCTCTTCACAAACTTCAATATCAATTCACAAGTTCTCTGAAATAAATGTTGATGTGAATATGACAGGAAATAATGACAATGATATAGAGATGATTCAGAGAATCTGGGAGAAATTACAGAAGAATGTGACAGATTTTCAATAGAGAATGATTTCAGTGAATGAGACATTTTTTAGAATTAGTGATTATGTAGATAGAAATCAGTAACATTATTAATATAATAATGATTTTGTTCTGTTCATAACTCATTTACAGTGATTTCACAGCTAATCTACCATTATATTATATTTTACAGTTCGGCGACGGTGTCGGCGACTGGCATGGCGGAATAACCATAACCCGGTCGTATAATAAGCCTACATTTTTCCGGAATGAATAGGTTGGAGTGGCACGTGACTAGGGTAGGCGTAGTAATTGTGAGATGGTTAATCTGTTGTATTCGTGTAGAAAGAGCTAGCTATATATATTACATATGAGATCACGTGTAGGCGGAGCGGTCGCTACGGCAACGCTACTAGGGCGGATGCTACACCCCCCCTCACATCGCCATGCAAGATCACAAACATCATAATAAAGAATCAATCATCTCTTACAAATCTAGCTATGTCATTCTCAAATTCATTCAAATCATGCTACCTGTATTGAGTTTGTGTATTCTGTCCCTCTTCACCTGTAAAACCTAGTAAATTAAGAAATTGATGAAATACAACTATGCTCAAGAGTTTAGTCAATTCATCTGCTGTCATTTCTTCAGTTGAGATGTAATCAATTGAGATTATATCATTGTTCAACTGGCTGTGAATATAATGAAATTGAGTGTTAATATGCTTGCTTCTCACAGTGATTGCAGTCACTGTGATAAGATCAATTGCTCTCTTATTATCTGCCTTGATTGACAGAGAGTCTTCTGTTTCAATGAAGCTCAGATTCATCATCATACTTCTCAACCATGTTGCTTTGTATACAGCTTTGCTCAATGCCATGTATTCAGCCTGATTAGAGCTTAAGAATACACAGAGTTGCTTGCTTGATCATCATGAAATCAGTGTGTTTCTCAATTTAAAGATATAACTGAATGTAGATTTATAATCATCATTCAATGAGCCAGCTCAATCAGAATCTGTATATTCAACTGACATGTATGTCATATTCAGAAATTCATTCTCAGATTTCTCATCATCATTCTTTATGTAGAATATGCCAATCTCACATGTTTCTTTCAAATATTGAATGATGTGGAATAGAGCCTTTCATGTCTTAGAGATGAGAGCAGTGTTCTTCTATGTCAGTAGAGATGTCACACAGGTGATATTCAGTTACAGCTTGACAGCTAAGTATTGCAGACATTCAATATCATGCTGAAATCATCACTTTATAAAATCACTTTCTTTTTCAGAGATGAGAGAGTTATCTAGACATAGGTTCTTATTCATGAGTGTATGAACAGTGATCACATCATCTAGATGAAAATCTTCTATCAATTCATTGATGTAACATCAGAGTATCAATTTGATTTCACTCTTCATATATTTCACTTTTATTTCTAGATATTTTGTGAGTTTCTTTAAGTCTTTGATCTCTAGTTTTTGCTGCAAAATATTGATAAGTCAATCAGCATTCTTCAGAGCATCTGCAAAGATATGAAAATCATCAACATATATAATTATATACAGGTGTTTTCAGGCTGAATGCTTTCAAAGAGCAGGGTCATAAGAACTCAGACTGAAGTTATTTTCTCACAGTATAGCTGTCAAGTAGTCATATCATATTTTAGCAGCTGAATTCAATTCATATAGAGATTCTTCAACTGCACAGATGAGTGTACACTGAGTTTCTTATTCAAAGTCTGTGAATTGTCTTATATAGACTGTTTTCTCTAATCTATTATGCAGATATGCTATTACTATATTCACTTGCTGTAGAGTTCAATCATGCTTTGCAGCAATTGTGAACATCATTCAATTTGTTGTATCTGTAATCACAGGGGTATAAGTCTTCTGATAAGTGTCTTTCTTGAATCAGTTATTATATATGACTCATCAAGATTTTTATAATATATCATCTTCATCAGCATTGAAATCATCAGAGTGATTCTTTTTAACAAATACTTAGCAATCAGATGTCACTGGTTCATTATATGAGATGTCAGAATGTGAAATAAGTGTTCAGATCTTGCACCTCTCAAGATCAGATATTTCATGTTGCATTGATTTCTTTCAATAATCTTTCATCATCTCTGATCTATTCATAGCATTCTTGTGTGATTTCAGAAGAAAATCAGTAATGAGAGTGAGAGTGTAAGCTGTAAATGCCTTCATCAGCTGCATTCAATCTGTACTCATCAATTCAGAAATGTTGAAATTCTTCACTAAATAGGTGATAGAAACAGTGTCAGTTGCTGCAGTTGTAGTAGTTGTAGTAATCTTCAGCATTTCTTGCACTTTTGCAGGAAAAATCACATCACTTGTATCAATAATTTTATCTGTTGTAGAACTTCACAAGTGATAGATTGAATATTCATGAAATTCAATAAGCTTATATGAATTGACCTGTGTGAATAACTTATTCAATGACTTCTGCAATTCATGAAGATGAGCAAAAACATCAGTTTCAAGCTCGCGGAAATGTGTGATCTGCAGCAGAGTATTCATCAATGCTGAAAAAGAAATTATATGAGAGCTATGAACAGCTTCTTTGCTATCATCATCTACAACTGCAGGCCAATACTTTTCATTATATAGAATCATAGATGTGAGTGTATTATTTATGATTGAAACAACTGTTTTCAGAATGTCTGTTCAGAATTTCTTCAGAATCTTCTTATCAATAAGAACTGCCCTGGCACAGGTAGACTGGCCGCCGGGATCATGAATTTCACGTTTGGTCCCATTTGGTCTGGTCCCATACATTTCTTGGCGTGAATCCCGCTGAGACTGGCTATCAAAAAAACATGCAAAGTGACTATATATCAGATTTTAAAATGAAATCATAACTTGAAAAAAATGAGAAAGTGGTCTCATTTGGTCTCATTTAGTTCCATTCTTGGCATAAAGTTACTATTTTTAGACATTTTAAGGTTTTTTTTAGACTATTTTTAATTTTTTAAAAAGTAACACTTTTTGGTAACACTCAAATGAGATTTAAAGTCATTTAAAGCAATAAAAATAATTTAAATTGAGAAGTGGAAATCATGGTTTCATTTGGAAAATGTGACAAGAGTAGACAGTAAGTCTCACTGGGACAGTATGAAACTACTATCTAATGTTAAAACTGTGTAATGGGATCAGTCGAATTGGTAATGAGACTATCAAAAAATCTGGTCCTGGTCCCAGACACGGTCACACGGTCAGTCTAGGCACAGGTTATAATTGTATGTATTCCACGCTCAGACACGCCATCTTGATGTGATGATTGAGAAGTAGTTAATTCTCATACTGTGTCATAATTGATAAACAATGCTGTAATCTTCATAAATCTGAACACATCATCAACATCAGTTCTGACATATACTGGTGCAGTAAAACCTAGATTCTTCATGAATTGAATTCAGTGTGCATAGTAATTATAAGCTTGGTTCTTGATGTGTAAGAAATAGATTCATCTATATCTGATCATGTCATTCATGATTAACATGTAATATTTATTACTCTGCTGTGATTTAACAGAGTGGTCTGTAGACTCGCTCAATGTCTGTCTGTCACCTGCAAGATCAATATAAATCTGCTTCATTAAGTGTACAGCTCATAGCATGAGAGTGATTGAGTATTTATATGTCATGCTCACTTTAACACAGATGTTGCAAAAGAAATTGATCTTGATGTCTTTGACACAGATGTCAGATAGTGAATTCTTTGCCAATGCTATAATAGCTTCTGCATGTATATGTCTCAGGTCAATATGCTACTCCGCAAGTGTTTTCATGATTGTAGATGATTCTTGATATTGAGATTGATCAATGATGAGATCATTGTCATCAATAGTGATCATGGCTTTAGCATAGTCATTATCATATACATATGATTTCACTGTGAAGTAGACTGCTTTAGACTCATAATGTACATCAACTTCTGACATTCTTTCAACTATTTTATAAATTGAGTTTTAAGATGTACAGATTGCAGTGAAAATCACTTCACTTGATACTTTAATAATGAAATAGAACAGAGTGTTCAAGCTTGAAAGCTTATATTAAAAACTCTGATCCTTCAACCTGGTGAATGATAATAGATTGACTGTGAGATTGAGAACATAATGAATATCACAGACAGTGATATTCTCTTCTTCAGATTCTAGAAGAAGATCACTGATCTCTTTGACATGACTGTAATCTTCATTCACTGTGTGAATCTTCATATTATCATTGTACATCTTCTGCTGAATGAGGGACTGCTTTTCATGTAAGAATAAGTGCTCGCAGGCGATTATTCGGGTGTTTGCAGCTTGGTGTGATATGTACTGTTAACTACTAGAAGTGTTCGCGGTAGGAAGATAAATGTAGGGATCAAATGTATAATAGCATTCAAGCTGAGTTGTGAATAGTATTCACAAACTCCAGTCTATATAGTTGTGTGTAGCCAAGGGCCACTAGCCCTATTGATTACATGAGAGATAGGAATAGAGGTAAAGAATCTGTGAGAAGCAGGATTTCTTACATACCTCTTCCTCTCTAAGGCTTTGTCTGTGAAGCCTTTCACTGAGTGACTTCATAGTCAGCTCAGCACTGCAGTGATACTCACTAAAAATCCTTTGTATCTGTAAAAAACCTCAGTGAGGAAAAATCTCTTATTACTGTGAAGAAAAAAGAGTCTGTCACTCAGTTTCTTATTCTGTGAGGTTCTTTGTGGCCTACAGATCCTTCTCTGACTATCACACAGATTCATCTCATATCTTTCATACAGAAGGGTTTCAGTTGACTCTCAATCATTTTCATGAGATTCTTGTGTGATCATCACACAGATTCATCTTACAGGTGAATCACTCTCTGTGAGATCACTCTTATCAAAGAGAAACATTCATGAGTTGATCTTTCATTCATCCTCACAAATCATTGCTCTTTGACACTGTAGAATTGTGAGGAATTTTCCATTCTTTCATCAATTCTGTAGAATTGTAGAATCAAGATGTCTGCAGTCTGCAATCACTCTTTGTAGTCATATAGAAAGATTCAGGCCTGTGATTCACAATCACTCTTGTTTACTAGAGTGATCTGGCTGTTCTGCAGAATCACTCACAGTGCAAGCAAACCTCTCTAGAGTAGTATAAATACCTCAGATCTGTCTGCAGAACTTCATCTTCTTTTCTCTTTTTCTGTAACAGCTTTCATTCTCACAAACTGTGAGTATTCTCATTCATCTGTGAAGTGTTTTCACCTAGATGACA